ACATGCATCATGCAATCTTATCAACGGCAGTCATTCGATAGAAGGAAGTCAACCGACAACATATAGCAAAGTACTAACCCTATCCCAACTGCCCGCATTGCATAGATGTACGAACAATACAGAGGCTCTGCATGGCAGAAAAGTAGAGAAAATACCAAGCTTACATTGCAGACTGACCGCACGTCTACAGAACAAACTGACGTGAAGGGCCTAGCAACAACAGTCACTCGATAGGTGATAACATAGAGCAAAGTACTAACCCTAACCCAACCGCTCGCATCGCATAGATGTACGTATAATACAGAGGCTTTGCAAGCAGAAAAAGTAGAGAAAATACCCGCTTTACATTGCAGACTGACCACACGGCTACAGAACAAGCTGAAGTGAAGGCAATACATTACTCTCTAGAAAGCAGAGCGTTGTATTATGTCATTGCAGAGATATCCTCATTTAATTAATCTAAACCCACCATAATATCAATTAGCACACACTCACCTTTGGAGAAACACGCGAGGCAAACTGTCGTGTGTGCGTAATATGGAGTAGCAGCAGCAAAGGGCGTTTTTCGTCGTGGCAAACTGTTGTATGTGCGTAATATGGAGTAGTAGCAGCAAAAGGCTTGTTCGTTTTATATTAACTTTTTGATAACGTTGTATTTGCGCTTTGGAGGAGGAGAGGTTGTTGTGAAGCGATATATGCGCTATGGAGATATATATATATGAGTGGACGCGTGTTCGCACACTTGATATTGTTGTCGTGCGCGAAATGTCGTGATTTATGCAGTAAGGAGTGTGAGAGTCAGCCACAACGATCGCTGTTATTCTATTAGAATAGATAATAAGAAAATAATTTGAGCATTGCAAAAGTAAAGTACATTCTCCATAACAATACCGAGCATTTCTTCTGATGTGCCAGTTTTGTCTAGTGCCTATTTTACCTAGATAAATTTAATATTTTATTGTTTTATTCACTTGAAAAATAGAAAAATCAAATATTCCCACTACTTTTTTTTTTCGCTGGAGTTTTACTGGATGACATCATTTCACAGGGTTCTGGTGAACCAATGGTCAGCCAGTCCACCGAATTAAATGTTATTCAAAAAAGCGGACGGGAAAGTATATGTGATGGGGTTTAGCTGTCAACGAATGTCACCAATCCAACGCTGTCACAAAACGATCTAAAACATCTTGCCTAAGCCTTTCCACTCTACTTAATTCAATGCTACGCCGTAAACGCTGTAAATTAACCACGTCTTCTCGTGCAACAAATGAATTGTTCAATAAATTCGGTCATCATTTTAAGAGCGGTCAACGCCACCTCGAGCGAAATCTTTTCCGAGTCTCACTGACTCCGCTGTCATTACAATCATTTGTAGCTTGCCCATTACTCTCGAATAAGACCATTTTAATAATGTCGTCGTCATTTACCATATCAGCAATTGAGATTGACTTGTCCGCAACAAATAAATTCTGTGGGTTTAACAAATTTAATAAATTAATATTAAGCATCATTGGTTAATAAACACAAGTCTCGTACCTTCAGCGGTCATGTTACTTTCCTATGGCATCTCTTGAAAATAATGTCTATTGTCCGCTTCTGTGGTATTGCGAGCTAACGCGGAGATATTTTCTTCTGAATTCATAATCGGTAGGATGCCTGTTTTTTGCCAGCAATTTTTGATAGTCTCCTGAGTTAACCTCTTTTGAATAATAACTTTTCTGACCCAAAAAATTTCTCCGCAAAAATTAGATGCTATTATTAAGAAGAAAAAAAGAATAAACAAAGGCTTAACTCCTAATGCTACGTCCTGTGAAATAATTGCCAATCGTTGCATGAATGGATAAACAATTCGCTTACGTCTATTGACAGTTTATTTCGCCTACTTCGGGTCGCTTCATCCTTTATACCTCCCTGCTGCACGTTTTAATGTTGCAAAATATGTCTGTGCTACTCGTCTTATATTAAATCTGTTCCAATTCTTTCGTAATTATGTGTCAAAACTATGATAGTAACTAATAAAATAATTTATATATACTTAATCACATTCTTATTCTGAATTTTATACATATCAGTTCAAAAATGTTGTATCACACAACAATAACGGCCCTGCATATGTGAAAAGTCGACGTCACATAAACATTTCAGAGGTTAATAATAAGAAAAGTCACGCAATCTGTTTGCAGAACAATAAGTCCGATACAATTGTTACTGACTTGTTATTTGTTCTTCGATTCTATTATAACTCTATTAAACAAACCAAATATTTACAAATCATACGAAAATGTTTTTTTATTCAAATACTTGTACTGATGATAACAAATATTATATTGACAAGTTTATTAAATAATAAGGATAATGCAATTAGTAAGCACGGTCACAATGTTTGGACATCTTTTCTTATTTCTTATCCTTAACAACATGGGGAAAATATAATATAATATAATATAATATACATAATAATAATTAAACACGTAATATATAATTGACAAGAAATAAGTGTATGACACAATGCTTTTTACGTTTATTATACAAAGTTGATCTCAACGCGCTTGTGTCTAATTCTTGTCAGCTTTTTTAAGTTCAACATTGCTATATATAGTTGTTGAAAATTTCAATTAAAATTTACCATTTTGGATACATTTAAACTTTTATATTATATCTCTCTTGTGCTTATCTTTCTTAAATTTAATACCACTATTAAATTATAAATATCCTTTTAATTTCATAAAGTCATAATTATTCACGCCCTAGTACCGCCTCGGCTCGAACAAAAGTAAATCTAATCTGGCAGATTAAATACAAGTATAGTGAACATTGACACTGGTTATTGAACTTATACCTAAATGCGAGTGTTAACCAACGGTATCGGCCGTATTATGCAGGGCAACGGCCTTTTAAACATACGCTCGATATACAGTATATAACCAGATAGGCTCCCCTCCTTCTTCTTCTTCTTTTTTTTGAGATAATCTTAAACGTAGCTACATCAACAATTTTTCAACATGCGCTTAATGTAAAAATTCATTGCAATTAGACCAGCTTGCTGCAAGTCTCTACAGGTTGGTTCAAAGATGATAATTTTTCGGACAAGGTAGAGCCAAGTTCAACAATCACGATTTACCCACCAAATTTCACGAATCACGCGATTTTGTCTAATCGTAAGGTTGCTAGTGTAATCGGACGTTATGACACAAGCAAAGAATTAGCTACATCGACTTTATATTTATATATACAGTCGAACCCCGTTATACCGAAGGCATGGGGGATCATGTATGATTCGTTATAACGGGGAATTCGGTAAAACGAACACTCTCTTTGTAACGAAGTCTAGCCTAAAGTCAAGTAATATTCGGTATATTGAGACATTCGTAGTTGCAAAATAATACAAATATACAGCAGGAGAAAACAAAAAGTATAATAATTCCTACGGATCACTCAAAAAGTTAGAGATTCATTTTGAGAGAATTTAATAAAATCGGCCTTACCTTCATTAGACAATGCAAAGTCAACATTACTCATCATTTGTTTAGAATTGTTCGATGCGTCAATGAACTACCAAATGCCGTTCATTACATGATACGTTTTACGTGATTAACTAAACGATGCAGAATTTTTTTTACAACCAATCACTGTATCGTATGACAAATTTTCTAATTGCTACAACCAATCACCATGTTTAAACTTTCTATCACGTGATTAACTTCGTTATAAAGCGGCTAGTGCAATGCAACCAAACTTCGGTAACGGAATAACGAGGTTTACTATTAAAATTCGTAATAACGATCAAATTTAAATATTGAAA